ATCAGAAGCTCCAACGATACAAGATTAATTGGTCAAACTCATTAACCGAGTTAATCAACATTCATTAACTATGGGTCACTCCACTAAAGACCCGTAGCTGCACTCTTCTCACTATAGAATATTTTCATGTCCACGAATATACGACAATTAATGACAAGTCAATCCTTCACGAGTGCTCGTAACTCAAACTGGGTCAAATTACTGTTTTACCCTTGAGTTACATCTTGCTCCTTAAATGCCACTGCTCCTCTAATGAACAACCCAGTTATGGTCTGACCAATAACCAGAAGTCTCTCTCGGACCAATGAGAGGGTGGGGCCCCTTGTTCAAGTCTCGGAGTCAGCATTTAAGAGAACACTCATCTACTCCCTGAAAGTCGGGGAGGAGTGAATTCCATCTCTTGAAGTTATGTTCCTAGCTCCCCACTCGGTCTTGTCTCCAAAATGGTAGGAATATTGAGTCGGCGAGTCGGGTCACTCTCACCCATACAGATCAAAGGATGAGCCCTCACGGGCAGGAGTCCATAACTCACTCAGGATTGAGAACGAGTTGTCTCGTCATCCTATGAAATTGTAATCTGTTAGTCAACGATGTTACATCTAAAGATTGGCTATCTCGTGGTCCGGTTTTATACAAACTCATTGTATAGGATACCCCTACTGGCATGTCTCCATATGAACGACCTGGATCGGGTCGTCTGTAACATTTACAAAGTGGACCGTATCCATAGTGTTGCCATGATAAGGTACCCAACCTTATCCATATACTATAGACCCTTTAGCTTATTCCCAAGATATTATCCACTTGTATATCGAGGGTATATCAAATATATACCCAGTATATATACTGTCCCAGTTACATTATAATAAAACCTTGGATGTTTAATTTATTAGATTTAGATAATGTAATACTATAAATTCAACAACAAATTGATTGAATAAAACTTTATTGAATATAAATTTATTTTTATATTAATTACAAACTACGAGTTTAGGGCAACACACCCAATACAAAGTTCCATTGAAGAAGAAGAATATAGATCTCTTGCCTCAACATTTGCTGAATTATCTCTTGGCTTAGACAACTTCTCAAGGATCTTCACATCTTTAGTTCCAAACAATCTTTGTTGTTATATGATAATCTTTTACTATTCATCTGGCTCGTAGCCCGATTTTCCATGGGTGTAATAAACATGTTGAAATCAACTTTTATTTTGTTTGTTAGCTAGTCCTGCACAAAGATATCGAGCTTCTTTATGTTCCTACGACTCAACAACTTGCTAACATTTTCACTAAACCGCATACAAGTGCTCGTTTGCTCTATCTCAGATCCAAAATTATGCCTTAATCTACCTTCATTTTTGAAGGGGATATTAACTAATACAATTGTAATTAGTTTTGGTGTCAGTCTGTTAACAACTTTGTTATCCTGTAATTAGTTAAGCTTTCCTTATCTTTAGTGACTGAATATGACTTGTAAATTTATCATTTCATTAACGAGGGTAAATCTCTCTTAATATTGAGAAATTATTATAATATTGGACATGCCAGTTAGAAAAAATGAACTTTGTTAATGGATGAGTCCAATTTTAAAAAGAGACGAATTGAGTTTTATGTGTCAAGTAGCGATCAGGTGACATGTTCATTTGTCCATATACATTAACAAAGTAATAATTCAAGAGTACATTAATTTTTTATTAACAAACTATAATAATTTTTTTTATGGGAGGGTATAAATGAGAAGTTCTAATACATTAAAGTTATAAAGGGACTTTTAAGAGAATTAAGGACCCAATTGAGAATTAGTGAATAGATTATGGATTATTTGGTGTATTTAACCTATTTTAAGTATTAGAGTATAGATATGGCTTTCAATGTATTTTAAATAGAATGAATAAAAAATTTTAAAGGTTTAAATACTATTTTAGTTCCTCAAATTTCGGCTTTGGTTTTACCTTGTCTTTTTACTCTCAAAACATTCATTTTAGTCCATATACTTTCAACTTTTATTCATTTGAATCATTGTGCTCTCAAAAGGTCCATTTTCCTCCCTGTACTTTTAAAAAGTGGTCATTTTGGTTCATTCATTTTAATTTTTATCTCATTTATTTTGATCACAATTTTAGTATGACACTACACCCACTAAATTTCTTGAAATTCGACCTTAAATTTGTATTAAAAGGTTTTCATTGTGTATAAAACTTGTGTTAAAATTTTGAAAATGTGGACCAAAATGTTAGCTTTTTAAAAATACAACGATCAAAATGGACATTTTGAAAGTAAATGAACTAAAATAAACAAAAGTTGAAAATACATTGACAAAAATGAATACCTTGAAATTACAATGACCAAAATAAAACTAGGTCCATAGTACAAACATGAAAATAGTATTTAAATAAATTTAAAAAAGGGTTAACAAACAATGAATGTAGTGGGTGTGGTGTGGTGTAAATTGGGTCTAATTAGTCATAATTAGATTCATTTAATGTGGGAAAGTTGATGGTCTCTCAATTTACTGTTTCATAGAGACAATATGTCTAATCTTTGATGATGGAGATCAGCTGCCCACCAACTGTCCACTCTCCCATCGACCAACACAAGGCATCCCCATGTGGTGTCAATCATATTTTCTTTCCTATTTTTAGCACAAAAATATGCATCAATAACTATTTTTAGGTTAAATTATAATTTCGATTTATGAATTTTTAGGATTACGTTTAGTAAGTTTTGAAGGGTGCATTTTGTTCGTGATTTAAAAACATAAATATGAAAATATGGAATTTAATGAAAAATAGAGTTTTATTTAATGACGTCAATATATTTGAACATGTGTTTAGTAATATATTTGTAAACTAGCGGTAGTTACAAACTAAATATTTAGTTCAATCTTAAAATATTATTAATTAATTAATATATATATATATATGTTATAAATATTGTATTAATTTACAATATTATATAATTTATTATATATTATGTTTTACATGTTTTAATTTTAAAAAAAATAAAATGAGAATATAACCGGAAAGAGTATAAGGTTTATGACACTAAGCACTACTTGAAATCAAGTTATCATTAATCGTCAAATAATATTTCTTAGAGTGATATGCATGCGTTAAATGGATAAAAATTAGCAATAGAGATTTATTAGATACAAACTTAAACGTTTAATGGCTTAATATAAAATTTTTAAAATATAGGGGCCGAATAGACATAGTCAAGAGTTTATTGATGGAAATGTCGAAGTCTGATAAATTTTAAGGGAATGGTGATGGAAATATCAATAAAATATTGATATCGATGGATATTTGTAAAAAAATTATAATAAAAAAGATTCATAAAAAATACTTAAATTAACAAATATATATTTAATACTTTTTAAATAAGTTAAAAATAATTAATATTAACATTATGTCAATATTGGTGATATTTTGATGATACTTTTATATTTTGTTTATTTTTTACAATATTATGAAAATAGCGATTCACTCTTTATGTCGATGTGGAACCCATATACATATAGAAATATCAACATATCCACATAATTTAATACCCTAAATACAATCTTACAAATTATATATCTATTAAAAATATTTATGAAACTTGTAATTTAACCCTATTAAAAATTTTCAGAAAAAATTGAAAGGAACAAAGAATTATAGAAGGGATTATTCGTATGCCAAGCCTCCTACACTAGAAAAATTAAATTTCTTGTTCTCGTGTCGAAATAATAAAATAATTATCTTTCAAGATTCCTATATTTATTTCAATTTTTCCTATCGGAACTTTTATTTATTTTTTATTATTTTAATACCTGATTTTTTTAATTATTTTTGTGCGTGTATAAATGGTCATAGATGACTTACTTTTTTGTGCCGAGCGGGTGCTAAAGATCCCAAGTTACATGGCAATAGTCCATGCAATACTTTACTTTTCTTATTTTTGTTTTCGTTTCGTTTGTTAAAAGTGTTGAAAGATTCATTTTTAAATATTTAGATAATAAATAATGATTCTAAATTGACAATATTTTGTTTCTCTAATATTCTATTTGACAAAAAATGTTAGATTCAACTTTCATATGCACAAAATAAAACGCCTTATTTGTGCAATTCTTGAAGCATGGAATATGGAGAACTGCCTTTTCAATTGATTATGGAATCGCCTTAATAAAACAGCAATCTGGAGGAGATTCTCGCTGTCTGAATTTTGATTTGCTCCTTGAGCATAGATAATATAATTAGATAAATGTGTTATTCGAACTATAATTAGATTTAGATTAGGATATAGTTTATAATTAGATTTCATATTTGATAGCATAAATAGGTTATTAGGTTTACGTCTATGAATGTTACAACTTATACTTGGTTCTTGAAGATTGCAGTGTATACGATTGGTTGTTGGTGGATGTTGCAACGTCTACATGTTACAACCTCTACAACATTGGTTGGTGCATTCACGACATTGGTTGTTGGTTGCTGTAACATCGACATGTTTGCAACTTTTAAATCATTTTAATTGATGTAATTTTATTTTAATATTAAATAAATTGTTATAATAAAAAACATTTACTGACCAATGATATAGTAATAAAATAAATTAAAATTTATTACTATTTTAATTAAAAAAGATTATCACAATAGTATATATGTAATTGGCAAAAAAGAAAAAAAATGACATACTAGTTTATATATCTGTTGCAGATAATTTTAGTAAAGAACACCAAAATAATTTTGATTCCAAAAAAGTTTCTAGTAAAAGACATAAAAAACATAACATTCTCATTTGATTGATATTCTCATCCCGATTCTTGGTAAGTAAACATGACCTTATGAGTGGAGGATTATCGGTCTTTATGACAGTAACAAATGCATTATTCCACAAATTGACTAAGATAGTCCAAGCATAAATTAAGTGTAAATGATATTAATAAATATAAACTTTCCTCTATAAGCTCATAGTCGCGAGATTACGAAGTAAAATAAAAATAGACAATTTGAGAAGTTAGGAGACAAAAAGATTAATAGCAAGTAAAAATAGAAATATCTTGATTTCAAGGAGGCAATTAAAAGAAATCACGTATAGAAAAGAATCAATTTAAATTCCCTAAACACAAAAAAGCCAAGAAGAAATGGCTTAAACATCAGAATCAGCTATGCTGCACCGTCATTCACATTGACAATACAAAACTACTACCACAAAGAAAGAAGCAGGTTGTTGTAAAGGCATCAGTTGACAGCTCCCTTCTGGGGCAGCGTCTCGAACGCAGAGACGGTATTCTCGAATTTAATCCGATGAAGAGGCGCACCGCTCTGCTTGATGGCACAGGCAGTCTTGTCTTCAAGAGGACAACGCGCCTTCAGCATTGAGAATACATGGTTGTTCAGTCTTCTGGCCTTCTTCATGGCTTCTATTAAGGACTCCCAGCCCTGCATAAAGAAAGGTTTGTGAAGCCGAAAAATGGCATGGATTATGAAACCAACAATTGTCGTGTCCAAAGAAACAGTAGGTTTTCAAACAGGTATCGTCCGATAAGATTAGTTGAGAACCAAGTTTGTCTATACGAACATATGAAGATGCGATCGTATAACTTGGGGACATATGATTTGATGTTTAAATTTGGTTAGACTGCACAGAGGGACCTACTTCACTAGTGTGTTTGCACGAAATAATATGGACAAGAAATCCAGTAACAAAGTTCCATTTGAAGTTGTTTACATGTGAGTTCTAAGATTAACATTGATCAAGATAAGGATCTTCACTGTTTGCTTAAATCCATTTAAGATGGACCATATCAGGACAAAGTAGCCAATAATATATACATCTAGCCAAGTGCATAGCTCAAGAACGAGTTATAACTAGAGTATAACTTAATTGATTAAGGCATATATCATCGATCAAAAGATTCTAAGTTTCGAATCTCCACCCAAGAGTTGTTGAACTAAAAAAAAGGACAAGTTATATGTTATAGGGAAACTTAAGTTAAAGCTAGTAACTTGATAGAATAAAATTGGACAAGTTATATAAAATGCCATTAAACTATGCTGTTAAAGTTTCAATTTTACTCTTGAATCTTTTAATTTGTTACAAAAATAATTGTATTATTCTATTACTATTCTGCCCCCAAGAGGCAGCCCAGTTAGTAAGGAATTGGATCTTTTGGTCGTATTGGCTTAGAGGTCTCAAGTTCGAACCTTCCGACCAACATAATACCAAAAACCTTTAATGTCTCTCAGATCTGAGCCTTGGAGCGGGCGTGAGTGCCCTCGAGTATAGGAAAGCAAAGCTTCGACTCTCCGTTATTAGAAAAATAAAATAATAATTCTATTATTCTAAAATCTATGGATAATTTGGTTTCTATCCAAATCCAAGAATCCAATTATTCAATCTATTATTTAGTAAATATATGTATATATTTTTTTAATCGTTTCATTCGCGAGGGAGGAGTTCATTAGCAATTTCCATTATCATCAAAACTCTTAAAATGTTGGGGACAAAATCGAAACCAAATACAAAGCATATGGGCAAAACTAAAGCCAAATACATTATACAAAATGGCCTTAACGTATGCAGTTAGTTTTAATTTTACTTCAATCTTTCAATTTCGGATAGCTATTTTAATGAAGAATTGCTAACAAAGGGAACCCTTCAAACATTAAAAAAAAAATATTAATAAAATAAAAAATAAAAAATAAAAAATAAATTAAATTAAAATTAAAAGATTGGAGGTAGATTGAAACTTTTAAAACGTTAAAAGGCAAAATTGAAAACAACAATATAGGTTAAGGGGCATTTTGCATGATTTAGCCAATAAAACTTGACAATCTAGAATACTAATTTTCAGATTTAGCAGATGCATCTTGAAACGAAATTTCCAGATGAGAGTACTAAAATTCCAGACCTGCATATAATGGGAACTTTTATGTGCTTGCACAACTGTTCCAGCCTCTGCTTCTGCAATATTGAGGAGTTGGTATGAAAAATCAAACAGCTCAAAATGTAGCTGTTGCCCAAGCAGGTAGACAATTGTGCAGCCACCCCAAGCAACTGAATCACCAAGCAGTTCATGGTTGTTTGATGGTGACTGAGCACACTCTTCCAGGTAACCCTTCAATATGCAGTAAAATAATATCAGCAATAAATATTTAACGACCATTTAATTTTACTAGATAAGTGTAAAAGGAAAACTGAGAGTTTATGAAAGCTTAATTTCATTTATTTCTAAAATTAGAAAAGTGGGGAAGTTTGATAATTGTAACTGATTTACAGCTCTGAGCATCTAAATTTCTGCAGTAAGATATCTCTTTCTGTGGCATGCTTACAGCTCACAGTACATATCACAATTTACAAAAAACCAGAAATTCAGAACAAGATATAGAAGATTCATTAAAAATTACATTAAATGATCCATACTGTAAATGATGCTATGAGAAGATACCTATGTACCCATCACATCCTTGGTTTTTCTGCATTTGTGACAATTTAATTTATTTGGCAACTGTATTATTAATTCTTTTGTTTGAAAAATTTACATTTTGTTTACAATGTAATAAATTCCATATCACAAACAGTCCAGATACTTATGGTTTAATTAGTTCAAAATTTATTTTAGTTACATGTTATCGGATGAACTCTAATGAAACATTCAATATGAGTTTACAACGTTGAGTAAACATTGGATGAAAGCTAACCTAAAAATCTACCTCTATCATATTTAATCCACCTATCTATCTCACTGTATAGTCAACCATTAAAGTGTTTTTAAAATCGGAGGGCTAAACAAATGCGTTTGCTTTGTGTCTCTTTTTCATTAAGGCTTTTCATATATTCAATTTGTTCTAAAAAAAAAAAAGCATCAATGGAGGATTGTCATTCATAACTATATATTATACGTAATTTAAATTTATAACTATGTATACGAGATGAATAAAACCATACGCATTAACCACTTGCATTGCATTGCTTCCATTACTAGAGACATTAATTAGAAAGGAAATATTACATAAAATAACGTCATTGAATTTAAATCAATTATAGGATTTAAAAAGCATGACCCAATCTGATTAGAGTTTACATTTCTCCCTTGCTAATGCATTTGTTTTGTTTAGCAGAAAACCATGGAAAGACATTAGCTAGAAATTTAAAACACTCGGGTGAAAATGATTGAAAGGTGTCCAATGATCATGATGTAGTTAAAACAAAAAAAATATATATTCAGGGAAAAAAAACAAAGATACGAAGTATGGATGAAAAAGGGCGTAAGACTCACTATTTGAAGTCCACTGTATATCCTATAAAAATCTTTTGAAGTAGTGATGTCAATGAATCCAGTCTTGGGAGCAGCACTCCACTTGCTACAGTATTTATCCAGAGCAGCGCTTGTAAAAGCAAGCGCATATTCTAGAACACTTCCAGTATTCATGTTAGATTTGTACAGAAGATCTGCACAGGAAGATTCAAAATATTTTACAAATCAGGTCATTGAAACTAGAAAGAGAGGACAAACAGAAGAGTGGACGTCAAAAGTTGACTATTTTCCCTTCCCAAAACCACTTGTTTATTCAACATATTAATGTTTCCATCTTTCCCAATCCTTGATCACTGGACTTTCAAGTCTTGTCTTGAAAATTTCCAGTTATTCATCAATAGCCAGCAACATTTGGTATTTACATTCCAGTTTTAATTCTCTAGTTGTCCAATGTCACATGCACACAGGACACAAATCTAAAGACATGGATGATTAAATTACATGACTTAAAACTGCAACATATTAACTGCAAGCAGAATTAGAAATTGGAATGAAGGGCTAACAACTCCCACCCTCTCGAAAGTCGAAACCCGAATCATAAGCTTAATCAATAAAAACTAAAAAGAAATTGTTATACTGTGTGAAATAGTAGAAAACCTGCTGCTTCAGCCTGCTTTGACATGGTATAGTATGACATTGCATTAGGGTTTCCAGGATTTGAAACAATTGCACTTGTTGCCGACTTGAATAGGCTTACAATAGGGCTATCTCCATCTTGAGAATGCAATATTTGTCCATCAACACCTGGAATTATCCCTAACCAAGGTGCTGTTTGCACGAAATGGGTGATGTCTAACTCTCTCTGTTTTTGGAGCAAGAGTAGAAACTTTCAGTTCATCCATATCCAAATTCATACAGCGACCAATAATATGTTTGACCACCGAATAGAAAGATATTATTCCTTGTACTATATTTGCAAATATGGCAAAACCGTTTGCCACACATTACAATTCCCCTATAAAATAGTCTGTAGCTTTGAGTTTAAAGGCCAGTGAGATATAATACATTTTAAAAAAATAGGACTCTGAATTTGAAATAGTAATATTACTAAAGGCTAAAAATAAATCTTTATTTCAGAAATAGAAATTGGAGAAGTATAAATACTTTTGGATATTTTCAAAAAGAAAATAGAGGAAAATAGTTGCTGCAATATGAATGCTTCAAATACTAACCAGCACGATATCAAGAAGACTAATCAAATATAATACACTTCCAATCTCCTTTATTCCATGTAGGACCTCCAATCTGAGCTCCGACTTTGCTTCCCAGTTTAGACTTTCGTTGATCAATCTCATGCAACCTGAACTCCGTACATATAATGTCGCATCAGGACAATGACATCGATAAGGTTAGTTAAGGATGCATTAGAACCCTAATGTCGGGAGATGGGGGTAACTATGTAGTTTATGGCTTAAAGTTTGTTAATTGTTAGTCAATAATTTTAGTACCTGATTAGTTCGTTTTGTTGTTTTGTTTTAGTTGAAATAATAAATAATAGTTGGAAGTAAAAGAGCCAAAGAAAGTAAATGTGCTGATATCTATTTTGCTTCATTTAGAATTAAACACCGAGGAAATTCTTCTAAAGAAGCTCTCTTATTTAAAGCTTCAATCTTCGGTGTGCTTATTAAGCAAAATTGTGAAAATCAATGTCACCTCTTCTTTTCATGTCCATATGTTGCAAGCCGTTGCTCTTCCCTTACATAATGATGCAAATTGATTCTGTGGGGCGGTTTTATCTCCTTGTGGTTATCTTCTTTGGGTTAATGATGTCAAAGTGTTGATTTCAGAAATACAGTTTGAAAGGAAACAAAGGATTTTTTTAACATAATACTAAAGTTTGGATGGAAAGATTCAACATAACTATCTTCAAAGTCTCTCAATGGTGTTCTTTCTCTAATTTGTTTGCTCAATAATATTATAGTGATATTTGTATAAATTGTGATACATTTATTTTTCCTTACCAGGGTTTATGTTTATTTATATGTCTTTCATTCCCTTGGGAATTTGTTTACATTCAATATATTTGTATCTTTTTATTATTTTCAGTTAGAAAAAATAATAATAGAGGGATCAGCTCTTGTATATTCATGTAATAAAGCAATTACAGTGATAAATTTATACGGAAGAAGTTCTATACATTTTGTTCACACTTTGGTAAATATTTTAAAAGTTAATTACAAAAATAATTAAACATCCATTTTACAAAATAATTATTCAAAATTTAACTGAGAGTAGTAGTAAAAATAATTTATTCATTTCTTAAAATATAAGTAACTAATTTAACTAAAAAAATATTATTACATTTTTAATAAAACCTTAATGTATAATTTAATTTTTATATATTAAATGAATATATTAATTATCTAAGTTTTTTTATTACGAATTACAAACCCATCAAGTCATCTACTAAACATAGTCAAACCAAGGTTAACTAAACCCGGTTTTCTAAATCCATAGTTTTTCAAAAACATTTGAATAAACTTATATAACATTTTCTCTATTGTAAATTTCATGTTGGATAAATTTATATATACTCCTCACACTTAGGTAAATACTCCAAAAACATTTGCATGAATAACTAAATATTTATTTCACAAAATACATATTGAAAAATATTGCGTGGACAAATATACTAAAAATATTTTACTTATTCTTAAAATGGTACTAATTTAATAAAAAAAATAACATTTATAATATATTTTTAATTAAATAATTAATATATAACTTATATATTTTTATTACTAATACTAAGCCTACCAACTAATCACAATTTTAATCCACCCTGGTTTAACAAAGCACAATCTAAACATAGCCTTAACAAATCAAGCCTCAACCAACCTATTCTTATGCAAAATCCAAACATGGTCTTAACAAACAAAGATTTAACAAATCTAAACAAACAAACCTTTTCTTTAAAAGGAAACAAAACTTTTCAGTGATAGAAATGAAAAATTACAAGAGTACCAACAAATACATTGGAACAAAAAACTGAAAAATTACACAAACTCTGCACCCATGACCCTACAAGTTTGAAAGGACAAATCTAAAAAGCTAACATAAACTTTAAAAATGACTACAGCCTAAATTACAAAACTTGACAGCATCTATATACTGTAAACCATTCAAATTAATTAGGCGATTTGATGAATTCCAACAATTATTGAGTGTTCTACCCAATATACGAGTAATTTGCTTTATTTTTCTGACCATATTCCTAATACTTTGACAATAAAAATATAATAAATTTCTTTTTCTTCACTTATATGGCAATGCTTTAACTGTATAATAGCAATAAACCATAATGCAATTAAAAACATTCTAAAAATAAAGGGGAAAAGGATCAAACAATTCAAAGAAAAACCATAAACTCCTACATTTCCTTTATGGAAAGAATGTACCTGCTACACCTCCATCAAATGGTAGTAGTCCTATAGATCTAGGCAATGCTTCTTGCAATCCTGCTATCATCGGTTCAAGTATAGCAATCTGAAACACAATAACAGGGCTCATTAGGGCAAAGCTGTTTGTATACAAATCATCGACGGTAACAAATCAATTATCATGGTTCAATGGAGTTAAAAGCCATCGTTTCAGAATTATGGTCGGAACACAACCATAGAGTAAAAAGCTTCACAATGGTATTCTCCTTCTAATGTCTTTTCAAATTATAACTCCCTCCATATTTGTCTAAATTGGTAAGCTGTTAGGATCCCAAATACAAGAACCTAACGAGATAATCTATATTGCAATCTCAAACAGAAACTACAATATTGATAGCCTTTCGAGAGGGCTATCTCTCTCCCAAGAATTCTCTCAAGTTCCTCACAAAATACTATTCCCCAAGATACCCCTTCCCCTCCCTACTACCCTCTATTTATATCCAACACACCACTAAGTCCTAACTAATTACCATAATACGCCCACTAATAATATTTCAAAACTATCCCTATTAGGACTCTCACATTACCCCACCCTTCAAAGACACCTTGTCCCCAAGGTGTGCATACAAACACTAAACAAAATTCTCATACTCGCCCCCAAACCATATTAACAAAAGATGCAAAAGATGCCAACTGAAAACATAATCTTCAACAACATACCAATAACTAGGAATTGCCGTCGGAAAGTCGAAAGAAATCATCTTGAATGGTCCAAAAAGCTGGTTTTGTTGTTCCCAAGTTAGCCATGCACAAAAGTATCCCTTTACCCTTCAAGGTCAACCATCGCACCCAACTCTCTATTTTCCCAAGTAAGAATCTGCCAAAGTAGTGTCTCAATCCTATCTCAGTGATTTTCGGCTTGAGATGTCCCCACTCCCAATTCTTGATGATACCTATTAGAGTATATATTTTATATTCTTGTATTAATATGTATTAATTTGTCCTTTACCTTCTCCGTATAGGATTAGGTCAACCTTGTCTATTTGTCTATATATATAGACTTTAATAATGAGAATAGATTACATTGGATTCTCTCGAACCTTAGTTTCTACATGGTATTAGAGCCCTAGGTCTTTTCTAAAATTTTTGAGCTTAGGATTTTGTGCCCATTAGGGTTTTGTTTATTAGCGTCCAACTCAACTCACTACTACCGCCGCTACCGCCGCCACCGTCGCCCATCACCGCTGCCGCCGTTGCCC